CCTCTTCCTGTCCCAGAACAGCCATGGCAAGTGGTGAGCCTAGACTTCATCACCGGGTTACCACCCACCGCCAACAGTTAAGACGCAATCCTTGTCGTCATCGACAAATTCTCCAAAATGGGACACTTCATCCCGACGCACACGACGGCACGCACCGAGGAGACAGCACAGCTCTTCGTTCGTCATATCATCTCACAGCATGGCATCCCAACCACACTCATTTCCGACCGAGACCCCAAGTTCACCAGCAAGTTCTGGAAGGAACTTATGTCTCTTCTCGGGACCAAACTCGCCATGTCATCCGCATACCATCCACAGACAGACGGACAGACCGAGCGCCTCAACCAAATTGTTGAGCAACTCCTCCGAGCAGCCTGCAAGGACGACATCTCCAAATGGGACTTGCACCTGCCCGTACTAGAGTTTGCTTACAACAATGCTCCGCATGCCGCTACTGGACAGACGCCGTTCTTCCTCTGCTACGGACGCCACCCACTCACACCACAGAAACCAACAACATCCGCTACGGTACAACCTGCACATGATTTCATCACAACCATGCATCAGCTTTGGGATCGGACCCATAAGCGCCTCCTCGACATTCAGCAGCAACAAAAGCGCCAGGCCGATCGCCATCGCAACGACCACACCATCACGGTGGGAGACCAGGTGCTTCTTGACACCCGCAACCTGGACATCAGCCATCTTCCATCTAAACTTCGACCTCGCTTCTGCGGCCTTTTCTCGTTGAAGCACAGGTTACTCCTGTTACCTTCCGCTTACGCCTGCCAGCTACCTGGAAGATTCACAACGCCTTCCATGTCCAGCTTCTGAAGCCCTACCGGGATCCGAACACGATCTTCGTCGGACGCCAACCGCCGCCGCCGCCGCCCGTCCTCGTCCAGAATGAACCCGAGTACGAGGTCGAGTCCGTGCTCGCACACCGCCGTCGTCGGAATGGTACCGTGGAGCTTCTCATCCGTTGGAAGGGTTATGATCGTTCTGAGGACAGCTGGGTACCTGAGTCCGACATGGGTAACGCCCGTCGTCCTCTGCATGACTACCTTGTCAAGCAGGGTGTTACTTGTACCACCCAGCTATGAGGGGGGAAAGTGTGAGAGTACGACCCCGTTACACCACTTGTCCCTTTTCTTATTTCCTTCCTCGTTCATTTCTCTTTATCTCATCTCATTTGGTTTCCTATTTTCCATTAACCTTTGGTTTATCCGGCTATTATAATTATATCACCGACCAGGCTTGGGATGTACTGGTACGCTATATCTAGCGTAATCCTGGCGTAATCCCTTAAAGCCAATAGCCTCGCGTGGCTATACGCAGGGTGATTCTATCTTCTAGAAGGGTCTATTCCCTTAGGATAAGATAAACCTGGTTACCTGATGTACTTTGGAAGTATAAAAGTACCTTGTACTGATCGATAGTGCAACCTTTCCTCGACACATTCGATCCTGTGACACATATACTGCATCGCCTTTTCCCCGGTCTTCATCTGTATTGTTGTCAGCTGTTGCATGTGTCTGCTTTGTGTCACGCTGTCGTTTGCTTAATAGAGACACTAGAGGTGATGTCATGCGAGTTCCGCGGAGTTTCCATAGCTCCGATACGTTCTGATGCTCTGTTGTTCTTGTGGTGATAGGTTCCGCAGGAGAACTGTATACGCTAGCAGCGAGTGATACGTGAAAATTTCTTGCTCCTTTCCAGTGCCGTTGCTTGGGAATGGCAGGGACCCGTTGAAGTATCCCAAGAGATGCGCAGCCTCCATCAGCAACTCGAACTCAAAGCTCCAGGTAAAGAAGTCGTGTCCGTTGAATGGTGAGGATGTCTGTAACTTGATTACGTGTGAAAACTGCGCCTGGAGACTCAAAATCTCGTTTGGTGTCTGTTGTGATGCAGCTGCTGTTGGTTGGGCACGGGGCGGCATGAACTCGAATGTCCCCGGTGAAGAGTGATAAGGCGCAAAGGTAGGCGCTTGATTGTGTCGCCCGAACGATGAATTGTCGAGGCTCATCGGCGCTAATCCCATGTTTCCTCCGTTGCTCTGTGTTGAATGCGCAGGTGTCCTTGTTTGCTGCTGCTGGTCGAAGTGCGACATGAAGCTAAAGAACCTTTCCATAAGGTTCGGATCCACGCTTGAAGAGGGTGATGGAGTCACCATTTCCGGTGCTCTTCCTGTTGTTTCTTGAGCAGCGCCGGTCTCGGTTTGCAGTCCTGAAGTGTGCAATCCAGAGTTGCCGGGTTGAGTGTCTTGGGCGCTGGGTGAGCCCGTAGAGATTTTCTTGCCCTTGCTGTCCATGACTTGTAATCAATGAAGTCGTTTGAATTGCAGATTGTAGATAGAGCGTAGTTGCTGGGAGTTTGGTCTCTGACCAGCTCTCATACCATGTTGGGCTGAGAAAAGCCCTTAGGATCTTTCCAGAGACTAAGTCCCAGTTGAAGAATGAGACTTGAGTAGTGCAGCGGAAGTTGAGTTGTTGAATCCTTGTACTAGTATATGAGAACAAGTGATTGATTAAAGAAACAAGCATACAGCAATATATAGAAAATAGGAAAGTAAAGCAGTTGTAGAATACGGTTGCAGGAGCGGTTATCGAGTCGCACTGCGACTCGATTGTCGCTTCGGTTACCATTCGTGCAGTTGTAACGGTCAGTCGCAACCTCCAGTTGCGACCCTTCGAGTCCCTTTGCGTTCTTTGTCCATCCCCTCGTGTAACCTCCGTTGACTCGCGTACCCGTTGCGATCTTCCTCGAGTGTAGTGTTACTCTTCAGAAACGCTTAAGTCCTTTGAGGTATTTCCAACAAACGGCTCAAAGTTCATACGCAGTGCGTGAACAATTTGGGATCCGGGTGTTACTATATGCCATTAAATAGTTGAATATGCACCATACAAGGGGTAGGTACATGCATGCCTTACATCTAGAGATTTCATGCATTCAGCATAAGGTTTTAGGCATGCCAAATTGAGAAAGCTTGCTTTCTTGTCTTTTGCAATGTGCATCGTCTCATTTGAAGTGGCTAGGTACAACTAATGCTAATAGCCTTCATAAACCTGACAGACGTTATAGCCTAGAGTGGAAGACTCCATTCAAGTGACTGACTGGCAAATAACGCAACTCCAGGTGTTGGGGAGGGGGGGTGGGAAAGTTGATTGCGTTGTTGAAAATGAGAGACGTGGGTGGAGGGAAATGAGCTCGAACCCACATATTTTTATTTGGAGAAGAGAGCGAATATCGTGCTTCGACGGTGCCAAAATCTGCAGTAAAAGCTGCTTCACTTTCACAATACACAAATTTGAAAAACACTATGTATGTTTAATAAAAATATAATAATGTGAAAAATGTTTTTGCTCAAACCTAACACAAATGGCTACAGTTACACCACTAACAGACACGGTGCCAGGCTGTCGCGTCACCAAATTGGACGGTTTCATGGAGTTTGTTCCAGTTCATAAACGGTGATGTCAGCTGCACACGTAGGTTTTGTTTGTTTGTGCCGTGTGCAGTGCTCGATGGGAAACACCAAAAGACATCAACATTCCTCCCGATATACAGTACCTGATTTACCCACTCTGAATCTCCGTTTTACCATACCAGAGACGAGGGCTTCGGGCAATCCCTACGTAGTTGTTCGAATAGGGGGACTACCGTCAGGGCGTGAAGCTTTCGTTTTCGGCCAATACCCCATCCAACCCATTTACGGAGCTATTTGATCTTTCCGAAATGCAATCCACCTGACTCAAACGCATTCGGACGCAGGCTAACCTGCCGTCAGGGTATTTCAGGGCTCGTGTCATCCCAACTTCCGGTCATGATTTTGCCCCTTCTGGAAGACCCGAAGTTCCGAAATAAGGGCAGGGGAGACTTGGAGAAATCACCCTGTTTATTCAAAGAGAATTTACACTGATTGTTTATTAGTAGTGCACAAAGTTTATAAACCGTGTAAGCGTAATGCGCGCACGTGTTTCGCGAGCCTCCGCCACGGGAGAATGGGGCATTAAGTGGACACAGAGGTTTCGCGAAAACGGAAACCTTGTGTCAGATTTTGTGACAGGCAAAAGAGGACCTCAAAAGTACGCCCTACAAATAATATAGGATTTACAATGCGTTGCACCACGATTATGCGCGGTTACTTTCTAATGCCAAATGGGGCGTATTGTTTGAGTTCATTATCTTGGACACGCTCACCGAATCCGAGTCGCAGCTGCCACAGAAGACGCGCCGCTGGGCCATCAAGTGAAACGTAAGTTGCCCGTTGTTGGATGTAATTGGGCGCAGGTTGAGGGGTGGGCTAGGTGAATATTCTAGGACTTGATGGACACGTGGTGTACATCGCTCTTTCAGTGCTGTCTGGTCAACGATGCAGTTCCGATCATCATCAACCAGCTGCCCGTGCTTCAGGACGATACTGTACCATAATCTTATCTAGTGGTATACCCTTCAGTAGCCAGTCTTAATTCCCTTCGTAACATTGCCAAGGATGTTCGCTGCGAGGTTGCTTCTGAAGATTCCATACAGAAGTCGGGTGTAAGAGCGGTTGGAGTGTCCCACTAAAACATCCTGAGGTGGTTGCTCAATTCTGGCTTGCAAACATTCGGATAATTTATGACAAGCTGAACCTCTTGGATTCAGCAAGGCGACCCCTAGGGACATCCAACATGTCTTGCCCCTTCTCTTCCCCTCTCGTTGCTATCCCACGCAAACCACCTGATCACGTGAGGGCGTGCAAAAGTTTTCACTTTGTTGCGGTTGTATCAGGTGCTTTGCGTTCTAAAGGGTTTTTCTAAACATCCCAAGTGGTTGGGTAGGATCCTTGATGGAATACGAAATCTTGTGACACACCCTGACCACCACCTGACCCATCCAACCAAGTTTCTGGTTTGGTTCGGTCACCGAAGCACTCACCGTACCTACCCAGCTGGTTTCCTGGGTTTGTTGACGGTTGAAATGCTCCACCCCAACCAGATTCATTCATTTTTTCTCGACTGCTGTTTCCTCATTGAATTAGAAATGTAGGTGGTTCGTAACTAACTACCCTGCCGCCTAAGTCTCTCCTACGTGTCGCGATTATTAGCAGCGACGGTTGGATTCCACACATTTCCACCTTTTCGTCCTCTCCTTTTCTCACTCTGCTCCTCTCGAATCGACATTCCCGTACCTGCGTTGTATTCCATACTACATCACCACAACTTCCCGCTAGACTCTTACATTCATTCGTAAAAGAACATTACAGATTATCACTCGTAATCCACTCTCATTGCTCCGTTTCAACGACTATCTGCTCCACCATTTCTGCATTGCGCCAGCACAAGTCAGCAGCAGCAGCAGCAGCCATGGCGCCTCCACCGAACCCGCATCACCAGCCTCATCCTCCCACTCTTCCCACGGTCGCTGAGTCCCGGTGGGAGGACGAGCTCTCTCCAACCACCACATCTACCAACGGCGCGCCGATCTCTCCTCTTCTACAACGCGACCCGCACTATTCCCTGCAGGATAAGGCGCGAGCAGCGGCTGCAGCGTCCAAGGCAGCTGCCGTAACCCCCGCCGCAGCCGGCGCCGCCGAAGTGCAGCCCAATGCCGCATCGTATTCGAGCTCCAACGCCGAAGGGGATTTCTCGTTTTCCGTCCCTTCCGCAGACCCCCACGATGCAACATCTCCTTCCGCTTCCGCTTCCGCTGCCGATACTCGCGCAACCTCCGCAGGCGCCAGCGACGACTCCAGCGCCGCCGGTCGCGCAGCCGCTTCCGCCAGCAGTAATGGGGAGCAACGCGCCCCCTCGCGGCCGCTGCGGCCGTTAAGCATCGAATACCCGTCGGGTACGGCGCCTGGAGCGCAGAAATCGCCGTCAAATGTGGAGTACACAAGCAGCAGCAGCAGCAGCAGCGCGGCCATGCCCCGCGCGATGCCACGTGGCCGACGCGGCAGCACGAGCCCGCACGGTTCGGGTGGTAAGATCGGAGTAGCGGGGCTCGCGGGGATCGCGGGGACCGCTCGCGCGGCGGATGGCGGAGATGACGTGGAGTCGTTGCTTTCCCCCGGTATGCTGCATTCTAACCACCCTAATCTGTACCTCCCTAATCCGAGGCCGTCTCCGAGACTTACGGCTCATCCGCGGCTGTTCCCGCGGGGTTTGTCGTCGCACCCGTCGTCGTCCAACCTCTCGGCGTTGGATTCAGTTCGTAACTGGTTTTCGTCATTCTTCGCACGGTCGGCTGGCGGAACTCCGTTGAATTCGCCAACCACGGCCGGAGCGGAGGACAGGGGAGGGGGAGGGTTTGGCGGAAAGATTTCGGCGCACTTTTGGTTACTGGTCCTGCTGCTTTCCGCGGTAGGGTTGGTGGTTGCTGTGATGGTGTGCGTGTGGCTGGTGGTGATAGCGAAAGGCGGCGATAGTGGTAACCCGGAGGACTATTACCTCGGGCCGCACACTTTGCGAATCAACGAAGTGCAGGTCGTGGGGAGTCGTAACAGTTACCACGTGGCACCGGAACCGGAGGTGATGAAGTGGCTGTGGGAGAGCGGAATGATGTCGTTCGCTCGGACTGCGAATTTCACACACAAGCCGTTACAGGAGCAGCTCTCCGCGGGTTACCGTTTTCTACACTTCGATGTACGTCTGGCTGGCTCTTGAAATCTGTTAAGAGTTTAAAGGTGTAACGCAGATTTAAAGTTCCAGTATCTTGTAGAAATTGGCGGGTGAACACAGGCGGGAAGGGTGAACATTGTTCAGCGCAAACTCTAAAACCCAGACCTCCCTCCCCATCAACCCTTCTCCCCAGTACTCTCACTCACCCACAATATTATTCCCTCCTGTTCCACTGTTCCAGGCTCTTTAACTAACCTCCTCGTCCTCACTCCTTCCTCTCCCTCTTCCCTCACTCCTCCCACTCTCTCTCTCCTCCCTCTCTCCTTCCTCCCCACCCCCCACCGTTCTCTAGGTGCTGTATGATCCCCAGGGCGGCCGCTACGCCTCCCCAAACGTGTACCAGCGCATAGACCGAGCGCCCAACACTCAGCTCAACCTCAATGAGCCGGGCTACAAGGTAACTAACTATACCTGGTCGTATGCCGACTAGTCCTAGGCTTTGTCCAGCATGGTACACAGGCACAGAAGGAAAGGGACAACATAGCAGGGTAACGTTAGGTACACCGGCCCGTAAGTGAAATTCATTGCCAAGCTAGCAGAGGAACCATGCAGAAAGGGAAGGGAGACAGGTAGCAAAGGTGCACGAGATAGATTCCAGAAACACAAGATGGTACCAGCCAGCAATGCACGTCTGTTAATTGATACCATTAAAGCAACTCCCTCCCACACTGCCACTTGTCTCCTTCCTTCCATCGCTTCCCTTCCTGCACTTGGCTCACTCTCTCTCTCTCTCCTCTCGCCCCACCTCATCTGTCTACCTCCCTCGGGGGACCCATGGTCTTGCAGGGTGTTTTTGAGAATTCTAAAAAACATCCTGGCTACTCCCACACATTTCACCCTGCTTTCCCTCCCACCCCACACGCCGTCTACTCCCACACTTCACCCTGCCCTCCCTCCCACCCCACCCCACGTGGTCACCAAGTCTCTTGAAATCATCCCATCCCTATCTTCTCTTACCGCCCACCTTCATCCCCCCCACCCTCCCCTCCCCCCCCCCTGGTGCATGCGCATGCAGGACGTGGACTTCCTCTCCACATGTGCCGCTCCCATCATCCTCTCCTCCTCCCCCCTTTCCCCCCTTTTCCCCCTTCCCTTCCCCCCCTTCCCCCCCTTTCCTTCCGCCCCTTCCCCCCCTTCCTCCCCTTCCTCCCCTTCCTCCCCTTCCTCCCCTTCCTCCCCTTTCTCCCCTTTCTCCCCTTCCTCCCCTTCCTCCCCTTCCTCCCCTTCCTCCCCTTCCTCCCCTTCCCCCCTTTCCCCTCCTTTTCCTTCCCCCTACCCCAGGTGATGCGCATGCAGGACGTGGACTTCCTCTCCACGTGCGGCACGCTGCGCGACTGCCTGGCGGCAGTGAAGGCCTTCTCCGACGACCACCCGCGCCACCTGCCCATCACCATCAGCATCGACTTCGGGGAGGGCTCGCCCATCATGCGCCGCCTGGCGCAAGTGCTCACTCGGCCGCTGCCCATCACAGAGCAGGTGAGGAGACGCGAGAGTGGGGGGAATGGCTACAAACGAGTCCACCACCCGCGCCACCCGCCCATCACAGAAAGCATCGACTTCGGGGAGGGATCGCCCATCATGCGTTGAGCTTGCTGGCACAAGTACTCACTCGGCCGCTGCCCATCTCAGAACAGGTGAAGGGAAGAGACCCACTTTGATTCTATCAGCGTGGTAGTTGGGAAATTCACCTTAATCAGAAAGAAACATATCGCTTCTAAGAAGCTCCTTAACTACTCAAACAGGGATGCGGGTTACAGAGCTGGTATCCCATTCTAACAGACAGCCAGGAACTGCTGTGGAGTTCGGGTTTCTTTCAAGTCTCCCCGCCTTTCCCTCCCCCCTCAACCCCCCCCCCCCCCCCTCCCCCCCCCCTTCCCCCTCCCCCCCACCCCCTTCCCCCACAGAGCCTGCTGGACCTCGAGTACGAGATCCTCTCCATCATCCCGCGTTCCCAAATCATCACCCCCGACGACGTGCGCGGCTCACACTCCTCTCTCGCTGCTGCAATTGCCACCCGCTCCGCCTGGCCCGCGCTCTCCACCTCCTCGGGCCGCTTCCTCTTCCTCCTCTCCCACGCCAAGGCCCTCCCCTTATACCGCCAAATGTCACCAACCCTCGAGGGGAGGCTGCTCTTCACTGCGCCGACGGCATCTGGGGAAGGCGACATCCACAACTCTCCTGACCAGGCGGTGCTGATAGTAGAATCCCTGGACTCCCTCGCAGCGGATATGGTGACCAAGGGGCACCTGGTGTGTGCCCCGTTGCGCCGATGCGATCAAACTGGCGTTTCATGTGGGACCAGGCGGTGAGGCAGGTGCCAGATTATCACTGTGGCTGATCTGTGGAACGAGCAGACGGAGAAGCCGTTGGGACGGGGAGCGACGGCACGGAGACGGTTTTGCATAGGGGCCGGCAAGGACAGGAATCACCGCCATCGTCGTCATCAGATGCGACAAATCAAGGTCAGAATACACTGGATCTCCTTCTGAATCATCCTCATCATCTCCATCATTATCATCTGATTGTCGTCTGATGCGGCAGCGGCGATACCAGGCGCAGGAGGGATGGACTGGGAGGCGTGGATAAAACTGGGAGGTGCAGGGGCTGCACGGGGCCCTCTGCTGAAGCTGCCTCTGCTGGTGGAGGGCGGGGCGGCGTGCCAGGCCAAGTGCCTGAAGCAGCTCAACAAGGAGGAGTGCGAGAAGCGCAATGGGCGAAGCTGACTGAGCCTGTTCCGGAACAGAGGTAGTAACAGCAGGCCTGGAATCTAGTTTTTAGGCGCCTCAAACTGATGAAGCTGCCTCTGCTGGTGGAGGGCGGGGCAGTGTGCATGCCAAATGCCTGATGCAGCTCAACAAGGAAGAATTTGAGAAGGCGCAGTGGGCGATGCTGACTGAACTGCTCCGGAAGGTAGAGAGACAGAGGGACGGGGGTTGGAGTCTGGAATGTGGAGTGGGTTGGGAAAGAGGTACGGGAGGTGAGCAGCTTGAAGTAGAGCTTATGGGTGTGAATCCAAGTGGGTGACAGAATGTTCAAACTTTGATTAGGAGGGCTTCTTGTGAGTGCAGGCAGTGGTCTGCTACCTGTGGAGGTCAGGATGGCATAGACTTCATGTGGTGTAAGGTGTACCTTTCTAGTCTGGTTTGTAAGAGGATACAGGATTTAGTGGATCACATTTGCATCTTAATAGACGTGGCAGTGCCTGTAACATGTTCCAGTGTGGTACTTAGTGTCAAAAAATTCACTAAAAGCACTAGGGAATCATCACGTAGCATCTAATAGTGCCAGTGTCTAGTGGTAGAATAAGCACCTGCCATGTGCCCGGTGCAGACCCGGGTTCGATTCCCGGCTGGCACAGCGCGTTTTCCGTTGCTGTCGTGAGCTTTTGCTCTCGACACACCTTTCTTGTCTGTTAGCCGAGTTACTTCCTCTTCAGCCACCCTCCTAATCCTCGTTATGTGTTCCTCGGTAGTCAGGACGCATGTGCTGCTCCTCTGTCAAGACTCTCCTCTTTGTTCACACGTTGAGCAAGTAACACAGCGCGTGAGTAGAAAAAAGAGAAACAGGAAAAAGCTGGGGAAAGCTGAAGGAGGAGCCAGGAGCGATGGACCTCTAGTAGCTTCCACTGCCACCAACAGCTCCACCACTGGCGGCAAACGTCAAGCTCGACACAATCCAGAATTTGCACTCAAGTTCTAGCAAGGGAACAACACACTCAAGCTTTTGTTGGTATCATATCACCGGTCAGTCGCCTCACTGCAGACTCCTTGAACGTCGCTTCCGAAGCGAGTCGGCAAGGGGTCGGATCTCCGATTTCCTCAACATCACGATCACCTTGTACCTACTACCTGATCTTCAAAGGATGCATGAGCGGTAACGCGAGGCCCCCCGCTCGCTGATCCCGTCATGGCGCTATACAACTAACTACTACCTAGATCAGTTACTTCATAGCCGCAAAAAGCAGCAGCCGAGGAAGGGTGAAAGGGGTGGGTGTGAAGGGGTGTTGGCTGCTTACCAAGGAGCAGACTGAAGACGCTGAAGTAGGGAGGGTGACTGGGGGAGGAGGGAGTGACAAGCGTATAGGGACAAATTAGGGAGCGACAACCTCAGCACCGATAGACGGTTGAACAAACACGAGTCCACACCACAGCCACAAAGCAACAGTTCCTTGAGCTGGAAGGAAGCCCTTCGTGTTGCAACACATCGCCAACGAGAAAAAGAAACATGCATCGTACTGTATCCCCCCTTTCACGACACGCGGGCAGGCAGGCGGGCATGCATCATGCACGCATTGCCGCCCATTTGTCGCGGAACTCCGGGTCGCCATTGACGTAGCGGTCGTCACCAGACATTGAAGAACGCCGAGCCCAATCTCGTCCCAAACAACCGCGAAGTCTCAGCATGCGTTGGAGATGTTTATATAATGGTACACTGAAGATTTTGAGTCTAGTAATTGGATAGGTAAAAATGACTTTCTACACAATTGACACCCACTCACACCATGAGCAACTATGAGGTATTTCGTTGCCAAACCAGCTTCTCATTGTTCAGCATAATCTCGGCAATAACTGCAATATGTTTCAATGGGCGCCAGCACTTTCCAAAATGGTTCAGCATAATGGTTGGGTTCAATGGGAATGTCGACCTTCACCCCTGGTCAGGAGCT